TTGAACTGCCAGCCTTCTGGTTAGCAGTCAAGTGCCTTTGGCCCTACGCTACCAGAGCTCCATTAGTCACTCATAATTCTCTGAGTGTTTGCTTCATGTGTACATTATCGTTCATTATTGCTGTAGTTTATGGTTGTCACGCCTCCCTGGCCTAGGCCTGGCCCAGGATTCTGGTTGCTACAGGTGTCTGAGCGTGTTTCCGAGGCCTAAAGTTAGGGGGGTGTGTGCAAAAGGTTTAGTTAAGAACAGGCACCTCAAGAGCCAGGGAACCTGCGTTCTGATTGGAGCCAGCAGCTCCAGGGTTCAAAGGCAGCTTTGTTGTTGTCTGGGGAGTGGGAGTGTGGGTTCCTGGCCGAGCCCATCTCTCTGGGGAACTCTGTGCTGCGACCAGTTATTATCTATGTTCATCACGTCGCTCTTCTTGAGGTAATGCTTTGCCTAGTATCTCAGCGATAACCTTTCCTCAGCTCCAAGCCTAGGAGGGACTCACCCAGGCACTTGGTTTGGGAAGGGAGAGAGACTAAAGAGACCTGTCTGTCACGCTAACACCTCCTCTCCCTCCTAGAATGGAAGACCAGTTTGCGGCCCTGCATGAAAATCCTGACATGTGAGTTTCTGGATCGAGGCTGAAGCTCTGGGGTCCCTTCCCCAGATGGCCCATGGCCAGGGGATGAGAAGAGCTGTGGTCTGGGATGACCTGGTCTGTGTCCCCTCTTCTAGAATCATTGCTACCCCGGGGCGGCTGGTGCACGTGGCTGTGGAGATGAACCTGAAGCTACAGAGCGTGGAGTACGTGGTGTTTGACGAGGCGGACAGGTGAGCCTGCAGGCATACCGTGTTGGTTCGGAGGCCGGGAAAGGGGAGCGAGGCAGGCCGGGCCAGGGCTGGAGTGAAGCAGTGTGTCTGCAGACGTGGGCCGCAGACCACGGACAGTGCCAGAGCTGGTCTCCGGCTTCCTGGACCAGTGGTGTTTCTTTTTAGGAGTGTCAAACAGATACTAAAACTGCAAACACAGGATTTTTATGACATTAAAAAGTAGCACAAAGCTAAAAGCACAGACTCTGGAAGTAAATGGATGTGAGATCGTATCCCAGCCCTGCTCCTTCCCAGCTCTGGGGCCTTGGGCCAGTCACTGAGGGTCTCTGGGCCTCAGAGGCCTCAGCTGTGAGATGGGAACGAAATGGCTTATACCTCGCAGGGTGTTGTGAGGATTGAATGAGTTCCTGAGTGTGAGGGACTCTGAACGAGTCAGGCCCAGGGTGCGCACTGTTACTTACTCTAATACAAGTTTGTAGAAGACGTACGTAATGAAGGCAACAGACCCATGATTTCAAGGGGGCTATTGCTTAGGAGTCTGCGGGTGGTGCAGACGCTTGACACCCTCAGCTGCTGACTGAAAGGTAAGGGGTTCGAGTCTACCCCAAGGCACTTCAGAAGTAAGACCTGCAGATCTCTTTTAGAAAAACCCGCCTTTGACAACCCCACAGAGCGCAGTTCTGACACGTGGGGCTGTCGTGAGTCAGAGACGCCACCGTTGTGTCCTTGTAAATTTGTTTCCTGGTTTCTTGCTCAGGATGAATGTGTCAAATAAAGGGAAAGTTGAATGAAAGAACCGTGTGAGGCCAGTGCCAGCACATGGGGCAGAAACCGTGGCAGAGCAAGGGCGGCCGAGGCTGGGACCCATGTGAGTGGAAGCCCTTCTCCCGACCCCGTCCTCCCCTCTGTCCCCACAGGCTCTTTGAAATGGGCTTCGCAGAGCAGCTTCAGGAAATCATCGGCCGCCTGCCCGGGGGCCACCAGACGGTGTTGGTCTCCGCCACGCTGCCCAAGTTGCTGGTGGAGTTTGCCCGGGCTGGTGAGTCAGGGTGGGGTAGGGACTGGGACCTGCGAGTGGGGCCTGGTGGCTTGTTCTCTGTCGTCCTCACTGACCCTTTCCCACGCCACCTCAGGCCTCACGGAGCCCTCGCTCATCCGGCTGGACGTGGACACCAAACTCAACGAGCAGCTCAAGGTGAGGCTCTGCCAGCCCCCCTTCCCCAGGTGCACAGCCAAAACCCACGAGCCAACCCGAACGGCCGTTCTCCCTGCAGACCGCCTTCTTCCACGTGCGTGAGGACGCCAAGCCCGCCATGCTGCTGTACCTCCTGCGCAGCATGGTGAGACCGCAGGACCAGACAGTAGTGTTTGTGGCCACGAAGCACCACGCTGAGTACCTCACAGAGGTGAGCAGCGCCCTGACGCGGGCCCAGGCGGGCCCAGAGCTCTGCCCATGGGGCTGGTGCCAGCACTTGAGCTTGGCTCAGCAGTTCCATCTGCCGCCACCAGAGGGAAGCACGAGACTGCAACGTAGACCTGGGTCTGTCTGGGCATGTCTTGTATTGGTGCTCTTTGGTTTATCAAAACCAATAAAACCAAACTCACTGCCGTAGAGTTGGACCCAACTTAGAGCAACTCCTCCTTGGGTTTCCGAGGCGGTATCACTACAGACGTAGGTCCTTTCCCCCAAGGAGTGGCTGGTGGGTTTGAACCGCCAGCCTTCTGGTTAGCAGTCAAGTGCCTTAGGCACTATCCCACCAGGGCTCCTTTGGTTTTTCAGGGTAGTGCGTTTTTTACAAATGGAAGGTTTGTGGCAAGCCTGCGTCAGACAGGTCTTTTGGCACCATTTTGCTAGTACCGTGTGCTCACTTCATGGTTCTGTGTCACGTTTTGGTCATTTTCACAATATTTCAAACTTTTTCATAGTGTGATTATTGAGCACTTAATCTTTCTCACTAACACTTAATAGACTACCAGAAAAAAAAAAAAAAAAACACCTTACCGTCATCGAGTCAGTTTTGAGTCATAGCGACCCCATTGGGTTTCTGAGGTGGTAAATCTTCATGGAAGTAGATTGCCCCATCTTCCTTCTGCAGAGCAGCTGGCATGTTTGAACCTCCAGCCTTGTGGTTAGCAGTCAGCTGCCTTAGGCGCCATACCACCAGACTTCCTTTAGGAGACTACAGTGTAGTATAAACATACCTTTATGCATTGAGAAACCAAAAACTTCCCGTGACTTCCTTTATCACAATATCGCTTTCTCGTGGGGGTCTGGAACCAAATGTGCAGTACCTCCAAGGTCTATGCGTAGTTTTTTTATTCCTTGTGCCTTTTCATGGAGTCATTTTAAACACACAGTCAAGGATGGGGGCTGGAAATGAACTTCCGGGACTCGCTAGCTAGGTCCAGCAGTTAGCAGTGCATGGCAAGTCTCCCTCATTCCTCTGTCCCCGTAACTTTGGGCTTCAACCAGCCAGCCTTTCCTCCCACCTGAAGATTTCCTGTGTTGGACGTGGTTTCCTTTTTCCCATTGAGATGGAAGCTGTGGAGAGTGCCCTGACCGTAGTGGGCAGCTCGGTGCATTTTTCCCAACTGTATCCCTTGGTAAAAGGCCTGCTGGTTGACTTATGAAACGCCAGCCACTGGGCCCCTGTGGAGGAGCAGTTCCGCCCCATTACACATGGGGTCGCCGTGAGTTGGAATTGACTCCATAGTAACTGGTGTATATCTGTGAGACGCTGCCTCAGTCCAGGTGTGGAGGGGTCCCAGGCCCCTGGAAGGCTGCACAGGGCCTTGCTGCCTCCCAGCCTGGCCGGCCACTCCCAGGGTCTCTTATCTGCGGACACAGCTCACTGGGCTTCAGTCAGTCAGCACACATTTCACAGTATTTCTCTGGCTGCTGGGGCGCTTATGATCAGACCTCCACAATCAGCTGTAAGGAGTAGTTAATGCTTTCCTGACTGCCCTATGTCCCCAGCTGTTGTCCGTGTGGCACTTGTGTTAATTGTTTAACCTCACAACAGTTCTTCAAGGGATGAGCTATTGCTCTCCGCATGTTACAGGTGAGGAGACACAGAGAGGTTAAGTAACTTGCCCAGGGTCACACAGCTTGTTAGTGATGGAGTCTGAGATGTTTAGGATGAGGCTTGTACCCCAGGGTCCCCTTGCAGGCAGGTGACGTAAGCCCCGTTTGCACTGTGAAGTCACTGAGCTGGAGTCACGCAGCAGAGCTGGGGCTCAGGTCCAGACCCGTGCTCTTGTCTGCCACACGGCACCCCTGCCGTGACCCAGCCCCTCCCCCTTCTCTCCCCTCCACGGCGCTCTTACACCTCCCACCCTCCCATCTCCACCCGGTGCAGCTGCTGACGGCCCAGCGGGTGAGCTGCGCCCACATCTACAGCGCCCTGGACCAGACAGCCCGCAAGATCAACCTGGCCAGGTTCACGCACGGCAAGTGCTCGGCCCTCATCGTGACTGACCTGGCGGCCCGCGGCCTGGACATCCCGCTGCTGGACAACGTCATCAACTACAGCTTCCCTGCCAAGGGCAAGCTCTTCCTGCACCGTGTGGGTAAGGGCGGAGCCTGCACCGGGCACTGATGCCTGGCGGGAGCTGGGGCCCAAGGCTCAGCTCTGCCCACTACAGGTGGGGAAACAGAGGTCCGGGGTAGGGACCAGTAACCAATGCTCTGGGGGTGCAGCCCAGGCACTGTGCTAGTGGGCAGCCCCAGGTTTTGAACAGAGGGAGTCTTCTTCTCCTTGTGGATTCGCCAGGCCTGGGCTTTCTCTGTCACTTCCCAGCATGGTCCTTACCCACATGGCCCCTTGGCCTTCCTCCCTGATAGTCCTCTCCCTGAAACACTGGGCCCCTTTTTGGCTTTTCCCCTGGTCTTTTAAGGCTGGCGGTTCAAACCCCCCAGCCACTCCTCGGAAGGAAGGTTAGGCATTCTACTTCTGTAGTGATACCGCCGCAGAAACCCAAGGAGGGGTCGCTGTGAGTCGGGTCCAATTCAACGGCACATAACAACAACAACAACCTGGTCTTTTGCAATCTCTGAGATGATATCTAAAGTAGAGAGGGTCCCCGCATGGCTCAGTCTGTGCTCAACTCCTAACCTGAGGGTTGGCAGCTCAAACCCAGCCAGCAGCACCATGGAAGAGTGGCCTGGCCATCTGCTTCTGAGAAAACCCTACACGTGGTTCTACTCCGTGACACGTGGAGTCCCCTGAATCACGGTCAGCTGGACAGCAGCAGGTCTGGGTTCTTGTTCGGCTCACGGTTGTGATCTAGAGACGCAGACTCCCGTCCTTCAGACCTGGGGTCTTGCAGTCAGCCTCATAGTGAGCTTCCTTGTGTGTGCATCCTTGCTTTTTCCTTTTGTGGGGACACTGAGGAGTCCCGTGCTGTTGTGAGAGGTGCCTTGTATGTGGTTTTTGCCAACTTCCCCTGGAGGACCACATGACTGCCCCTCTTGCAAGTGGGGCCAGCAGCTGGTAGGCGGAGACCCCACACTGGCTCACAGCATAGGGGTTTGGCATGGGGGACTCGTAGCTGGAGGTGAGCTCCTCCTCCCCCCGTCTTCATCATCTCTTGTCCACAGGTCGTGTGGCCCGGGCCGGCCGAAGTGGCACAGCCTACTCCTTGGTGGCCCCAGACGAGGTCCCCTACCTGCTGGACCTGCACCTGTTCCTGGGTCGTGCCCTCAGCCTTGCCTGCCCCCACAAGGAGGCCTCAGGCGAGTGGGGGCAGGGCCCATCTGGGGTCCCCCATAGGGTTCACGTCAGACAGGGGTCAGGTGTACGCCATCCATGCATTGGGAGGAGGTGGGGTGGGCTGACCACAGGAGCCTTGGTCTCCTCGTCCATAAAGGAGGGTCATCAGGGTCCCTGCCGTGCGAGGCTGGCGAGTCTAGCTGGTTAAATCTCCGTTCCTTCTGCTTTTGTGCGTCAGACTTGATACAAAGCTCAAATAACAGCCACAGAAATCAAAAGAGAATATCGGGCACCTGCCTGGGGGATTTGAGGGGAAAGGAGATGATAAAGGCGGATTTAGCATGATGTTCGGCACACAGTAGGTCTCCATGACTGGCCTCTCCTGCTGTTACTGTTGCTCTTACAATTCAGTCTGCCTTGGCCATGGACTCATTTGACAACCCTGGGAAAGGAACATCCCAGGGTCTCAGTTTTCTCATCAGAAAAATGGGGCCATGTGGAGATTCGATGACCTATCGTAGGAGTCTGCACATTTTGTTCTTACAGGGCCAGATGATACGAATTTTGGGTTTGGGGCAGCTATTCGTCTGCATTGTAGTACGAAAGCAGTCATAGTACGTAAACAGGAGAGTGCGGTTGTGTTCTAATAAAACTTTATTGACAAAAGCAGGAGGCTGGGCTACAGGCCATAGTTTGCCAAACGCGGCTTGTGTGCGTTCAGGTACAGAGCACAGTGCTCATGGGGAGCTGAGCTGTCTGATCAGTGATGGTTTCTTTTATGGTGGTGATTTCCCTGAGAATCAGGAGCCAGAAGGAGGGGCAGGGCCGTGGGAGGTGGGCCGGGCCCGATGGCCTCTGACTGGTGCTGTGTGGGCAGCAGACACGGCTGGCGTGGATGGCGTGCTGGGCCGGGTGCCGCAGAGCGTGGTGGACGATGAGGACTGCGGCCTGCGGAGCACGCTGGAGGCGTCGCTGGAGCTGCGGGGCCTGGGCCGCGTCGCCCACAATGCCCAGCAGCAGTATGTGCGCTCAAGGCCGGCGCCCTCACCTGAGTCCATCAAGAGGGCCAAGGCGCTGGACCTCACAGGGCTGGGCCTGCACCCACTCTTCAGTGAGTCCCCTCATGGCGCGGTGGGTAGGGAGCGAGGTGGCAGGCAGCCCTGTCGAACCAAACCCCGGCCTCCTCCCTGCCAGGCTCGCGCTTTGAGGAACGGGAGCTGCAGAGGCTGCGGCTGGTGGACAGCATCAAGAAGTACCGCTCGCGGGCGGTGAGTGAGGGGCCTGGCGAGGCGGGGCGCTGGCCCCAAGGAGCCTAGGGGCACACTGGCGGCTGTGGTAGGGCCACGGCATTGCGCTGTTTACTCCGCAGCCCAGGCCCCCTAACAACTAGAGAGGCCCTTGTTCCAGAACCACCAATGCTTGGCTAAAGCAGATCTCCAGCTGGGAGCCAGCCCGTCATTGACAGATGGGTAGATTGAGGGTCACGGGGCAGCAGGGGCCCATGATGAGCTGACTTGCCATCGCCTCTCTCTCCCTTATCTTGACACCACCCCCCCCCACGTGCCCATCTTATGCTTAAGGAGGGGTACACGAGAGGGAGAGACCTGCTGAGGAGGGGTACACCTAGGCAGAGTCTGAGACTGGGCTGGCGGTGGTCTCAGAGTCAGGGGAACTGGGGTTGAAAGCCAAGCTCTGCATTGTGCTGGCTTTGTGACCCTGGGCAGGTTATCACCCTGTCTGAGCCTCCCTTGTTAATGGAATGGGGATCACAGGGTACCCACCTCACAGAGCTGAGAGGGTTTGGGAATCTCAGTGCAGCATCTGGCTGCATCTACTTTGCCCACTGAGCTGGGGAGGTTGGGGTTGGCGTTGGCCTCCTGTAGGAGGCCAGTGGGCATGGGCTCAGTGTCTCCCTGCAGACCATCTTTGAGATCAACGCCTCCACCCGGGACCCAAGCAGCCAGGTGATGCGCGCCAAGCGGCAGAAGGACCGCAAGGCCATCGCTAGCTTCCAGCAGGGGCGGCAGAAAGGTCCGGCCAAGCCAGCCCCCAGCAGCCTTGCCCTGGTGGAAGAGCAGCTCAGCAGAGAGGAAGAGGAGACCAGAGAGAGTGTGGAGGTACGAGCCCCACCCTGAGGACCCTGGAGGCCAGCCCCCAGGTTGCAGAGCGTGGCGGGCTGAAGCCAAAGCAGCCTGTGGCGTTGTCATAGCCTGGGGACGGGCCTGGAAGCTGGGGCTCACCTGGTCAGCCCCATCCCTGCCTGTCGCACCTGATGGTCCTCGAGGCAGGAGTGGTGCCTTGTGTGCAGATGAGGAAACGAGATCTGGCCACCAGCTGGTAATGGCAAGGCCAGGCTTTAATGTCCTGTGAGGCCGCTGCCCCTGACTGGCCCTTTGGCTTGGCCTGGGCTGGTGGGTAGAGAGACAGGAGGGCGTCTGGGGCTGCAGGCATGACCCTGGGCCATGGTGGCCAGGACGTCTTTGCAGAGGTTGTGGGCCAGAAGCGGCGGCGGCGGCTGGACCCTGACAGGGGAGTCAAGAGGCGGCGGGCAGAATGCCGACAGCAGGATCAGGATTTCTACGTGCCCTACCGGCCCAAGGACTTCGACAGTGAGCGCGGGTGAGTGGGGCTGGGTCCTGCGGCCGGGCAGGGGGCGTCGGGGGGCTCTCGTCCCCATCATGCCTCCGCACCTCCTCTTCAGCCTGAGCATCGGGGACGGCGGGGCCTTCGAGCAGCAGGTGGCCGGGGCCGTCCTGGACCTGATGGGGGATGAAGCCCAGAACCTGACCCGGAGCCGCCAGCAGCTCAAGTGGTGAGTGAGCTGGGTGCTGACCCTTGGCGGTGGTGTCCTGACCCCCTTTCCACCCCCAGAAGCAGGCTCTGCCTGCCTGTCCCCTTGAGATCATACACAACAGGGGTTATGTCCCCGTCTGTCCTGTCCTTTGCATTTGACTCTGGACAGTTGGAGTCCTGACCCCACCTGCTCTGTTTTGCTGTCTGGACTTTGCAGAAGGAGCTCTGGTGGCTCAGCTGCTAATTGAAAGGTTGGTGGTTCGAACCCACCAGCCG